AGAAAAATCTATAATTTTGACCCATACAATGTATTTTTGGCTATTGCTACAAATATACCCCAGCGACTTAAGACTGGTTTTGTGGTCCAGGGTCACATATAAAGTCGATTGTTTCTCTCTCAATGTTTAAGTTTAAAGCTTAAAAATATTAAAGTCATATGATGTTGCTAAAAAGAACATTATTTTGTGTATTTGGTGTAATGAAATGTGTTTATGCGGTTTAAGGTTAAAAAAAACACATTATTTTCAATATAATGTACATTATTGTTTCTCCTCTATGCCCCGCCTTTCTGAAACGCATAGATTTTTACAAAGCTCATCGGTCTGAAAAAGCGAGGTGTGCTGTGATTGGCCAGCTATCCAGAGCGTTGTGATTGGCCGAATACCTCAAGCGTGTGACCGAAATGTCACGCCCCTTACCATACTGTGATGCCCTGTCCGGCCGGAGCGACGAGACAAAAACATTGAAACCCATTATAAACTAGGCATTTGTTGCATCCAGTGGGGACATAATTACAGATTATAATGACTTATACTGTCTTTTTACGCATTGCATCCAATTGTATTTACAACACTGAAACTCCAGAAAACCAGTAATGATGCAGCTTTGACAGTTACAGATTTGAAAAACAAAAAGGCGGGGAAAAAAGAACCCTAAACTCTAAAGCAAAGAACCGTCTCAGTATATAAAAGGTTCTTCAGGAGGATACGGTTCTAAAACGAGCTGTTTCTACGTTTAAAGAACCTTTAAACAACCATCTTTTTTTAGAGTGTAGCTTTGTAAACACAAGAACATTCCAAAGCATTTTATAAAAAAACATTACACCATCTCAGGCCTCAATTACGTCCTTATAACGTTTTCCTAATGTGGCTGTGAGAATGTTCTTCCTTTGTTATCTTGAAACATTGTGCCAATGTTTTATTGACAACATTGTACAATCTGTTACCTCAAAAAAACATCCTCAAAACATCCTCAAAATGTTGCAGGTAATATGTTCTCACTGAGTTATGGTGATGTGCTATGTCTTATGGAATTCAACGGTGATCTTATCTGTGACCAGCATTCAAATAAAGTGTGGGAAAGAGTCTCCTTTATTAAGCCAGGGAGCTACAAGGGTCAGACTGGAAAAAATGCTTTAAAAATGTACAATATTACACAGTGTTCGAACTATACCGTGGACTTTGGGGGAGCCCACTTGTTGTTGTTTTTTTATAACGTGGGGGGGGGTTCGTGCGCTTGCGCAATGACTTACAACGATACATAACAGCTACATAAGCACTATATAGGATAAATCACTATACAGGATTTAAGGGGAGCCGAGCTCCCCCTAGCTCCCCCGTAGTTCGCACCCTGATATTACACATTAAAAATGTTCAAAAGTTTTTTTGCCATAATGCATTAGTACTGATTTTGACCAGCAGAGGACAGCACTGACCTAACTTGGGAAATTAATGGTGACTCATTGGAATTTATTATTAATTGTGAAATTCCACTTGCTTGATTGTTACATAGTAATCTAGTGCTAAGATATTCAATAACGTGTGCCATATGTGTCTAACAAAATGAAAAGAAAAAAAATCTGTATTTAAGTTAGGCTAGTTTAATGGCAGTACAAAATTCCATATTTATTTGTTTACTGTTTAAATAAGAAATTATTTCTTTCTTTGAAATTTGAAATTCACCCTAATATATCTTTCCACTGTCACATCTAAAATCACTGACTGATATGGAATGTAAACAGTCCTTTACCCGTGGAAGGGAGGGACTAGATGCACAGTAGGCATAAAGGAAGTGATACCTGTAGGAATATAAACGGTTTGATTTGACCTCTTCCCTGTACAGGCGGTTTTCGCGCATGATCTGACATGTAGGAACATATTCTAGTGGAGGTACGGTAGGCAACTTTTCTTGTTTTTGAATGTTTATGGCTAGTTATACATTAAAAATTATCAGCAATATAGCCTAAATCATAATATGTTTCCAGGGAATCTTTTTTCATGTCTCTTTTTCTCTCTTTATGATGACTTTTCCTTAGCTGTTGAAGGTGGGCAGAACATCTGTTTTTAATAGTAGAGTAGACTACACTACACTGTGTCTTGAGACACAGCTCAATACAGTTAACACAGAACTACACTGAAATGCTAACTGATTTTGCTGTCATTTTCTAAAATCACTTCCCATCTGAAATGGACCTGAAATGCAGCAATACAATGTTTACTTTAGCTGTATGTTTGAAATGAATTTGACATACTTTAAAGTTTTGACTACTTTTATTCAGAGGGTCAAAGATACAGCACGTATTACATACACTGATCATATTGGCCTAATGTAACGCTATATGGTAAACTGACACTGCTTTGAAAAGAATACTTTTTGGAACATGGAGAAATAAGGTGCATAAAATAAAATCATCATCCACCACATCCATAACGGAGTCACCATTTAGAAAATGCACCCAAAATACAAAATAATTCAAGAAACACCACAAATAAAAATGATAACATAAACATTTTGTTTTAGCACAGAGTAACAGAATTGAGCATAAAACTCTAATATATATATATATATATATATATGAAATGTAACAATAAAAACAAATAACTTGATAAAAATAAATAACATAATGCCTTTAGGCTGCAGTACAAGTTGCCATATAGACCATTATTTTAAATGTTGCTTAAGCTGGCATGTAACAGAAGTTGCATTCGTTTTTCTTCCCTATTGTGACGTGTATAGCTGAGATATATCTGAAATGGCTACTCTAACAAGAAAAATGTAGGGTGGGACATGATTTTGTCCATCAGGAAATGATTGGATCGTTGTTGTCTGCTATTGCTGTGATCTCGTGTGAATGACAGGTTGATCCCGTCACCGTGCAAATAAACACGTCATCAGAGAAAATATGTTGTTGCAAGGGGAAGGGAAAGTTATTTTGATTAAAGATTATGAGGGCACACGAATTTAAGTGTAATTTAAGTGCACGGATGAATAATTTATAATAAATAGTTCAATATTCAAAAAAATTAAGAATTGTCAATTTTGATTTCATTGTGACTTCA